GCTTCTTAATCGTAAAACAATTTGATCGGCTTTCCTCTTTGCTTTTGCTTTACTCTCAGCTTCTCGCGACCGGGGCTAGTTACATTGCTCGGTGTTCCTTGCAGTGGGGGCAGTTTGGTAAGCGGTTTTATGCGGATGTGGAGGGGGGGGGTGGGTGTGGTGGGGGGGGGGCGTGGGACGGCGGTGGTTGGGCTGTTGGCTTTCAATATGGCAGTCGCCGAGTGGGTGGATTGTGCGCGGGGCTTCCGGGTTTTCTTGTTTGAGCTTTTTTCCTTTTCAGTCTGTGCTTTTCTATCTTTTTATTATTTTCTTACTTTCTTTTTCTAATTTGGGCAACTCGACGGCTTGATCTGAAATACCCAAATGCTTGACATCAGCCCACAACGCAGTGCAATTCAAATCATCAATATCACTTGCAATGCGTACTACTGTGTTCCACTCTGACTGCGATTCGTATCGCTACTCACCCCGCCCCCTATCATGCGCCCTTCGGATATCTCTCGGGCAGCCAAGGCGCGCCTGAAGCAGGCCACACTTCGAGAGGCGCTGGAGTCAAGGGGCGCCCCGCGGCGAACAGGGCGAGAGACGATGATGCGGAGGGGGAAATGCTGCGAAGGGGCGGGGGGTGGGATGTTGCGCGGCGTAATGCGCCCTGCGAAATGCTTAAGAAATCATGGGTTAAGAAATTCATAGTCTCATAATCGGAATAAAAAACACGAAATTTCTACTACGCTTTTAGGGTTTACATTGAAACAGTAAGACTAATCGAGACCCTGGCCGAAACCTTCCGTTTTCTTAAGCATCGCCTAGGGTGTAGGGTGCACAGGGCGGGGGGAAGCGGGGCAAGTGGGGTATAGGTCGGGAGTGCAATAGTTATCTGACTTCTCCCTAGTAGAAAACTTCATGTATCGAGCGAACCCTTGCACGCTCGATTGCCCCGCAAAAACGGCGAGAATCGAGCCGACGTTCTTTCCTCGCAAGAGCCTCGCACGAGGCGCATACAAGTCATGCCGCAACTGGCCATGGCTGCTGGAGGAGCGGACTCTGAGCGAGAGTGAAATCATCCTGCTGTCATAATGAACGCATTATAAGGAACGGTCTGGCCATGGCGGGCCTTGGCCACGAATGGGATCCACGACGTGAATCTACTGAACGGCCCTCAAACTGGCACCCAAATATGTCCTCACTCCAGCGTCTAAACTTCACGGAACGAGGAGAGCAGAAACGCTGGAAAAAATTGCCATTTGAGACACTGCACACTTTCCCCGCAAGCGTCGCGAGAGCGGCTTGAAGTTCGCTGCTTCTTATCGCGCAGAAATGCTTCAAAAAGAAACGCCTCATTGTCATTCTCGCCCTCCTCAGGTACCTCTCAACTGATAGGTGTTTCCGCGACTATTCCCCTGGAGAACGGTGGGAATGATGAACGGCGCAGACGCGAGGTTGGCGCCGTGTTAAAGCAGGGGCCCGATTGAAAGGGGGGGGGAAGGGAAGGAGGGGGCGGAACTGAAGGGAAGCCCTGGGCAGGAGGAGTGGAAGCGGAGGAGGGGCAGGGCGAGGCGCTCGGATTTCTAACGCCAAGCATTTTCCAGTTTTCTCCGGATGGTTTCTCGGAGCTCTCCGGAGCTCTGCAGAGTTCATCGGAGTTCATCGCTGTTCATCGCGGAGTTCATCGCCCATGATTTTTGTGTTTTTCATATATATATATATATATGGTTTGGCAGCTGTTTCATCGGAGATTATCGGTTCAGAGTTCATCGGTAGTGTTTCGGTGGGGGAACCGGAGCCTCGCCAGCCGAATTGGCCGCGCCCTCACCATCTTCCCCTCCTAGCTCTCTGTCACCTGTTGCTGGGTTCCCTGGGGGCCATGCAATGAGTGCACCCCGCTGCTGAGCTCTATGCTAGTACAGTCTATCCCGCTGCAGCTGCCTGATCCCTACTGTGCCTATTTCTTAGCCCACTTGTTGTTCAACGCGTGCTGCTCGTTGATGATCTGGTTCAGCTGGATAAGCTCGTCCACAGGCTGAGTCATCCTGCCCCCCCCCCCCATCTATCCACTGGCGCCAGATGAGCAAGGAGGGGCGGGACAAGGCTCGCATCGAGAGGCGGGGGGGCGGGATGAGGGGGCAGGGATGGGGGAGGGAAGGGGCAGATGAGTGGCGAGAGGGGCGGGATCGAGTCCTTCGCATTCAGTCGCGGTCTCGTTTTTGGATGAGGGCGAGAAGAACGGAAGTCGGACGAGTGGGAGTGTTGCGGTCGAGTGCAATCAGATCGAGTTCTGAATTGTAAGCTTCTAGTTGGCTTGATGTATGTATCACTGTTCTCTGGCTGTGATCACATCTTGTGATCTATAACTATATAGAATTACGTGTACATGTGTGCGTCGTGTTGTATATATAAGTATGACTAACGGTGTGTAGACATATCTGCATTAAGTGCAATGCGCTGAACACACGCCCGCTGTCCTGTCAGTAATCTTCTTATACTCCTCGATAAGCTCAGTCGGCGCCATGTCCTTGACGAGGCTGGCCTTGTTCTCGATGCACATGCGCACGAAGTAGTCGGTGCGGCTGCTCGTGGCATGGTCGACCTTCTTCTTAAAGGACTGAGCCCAGTCGTCTGGGTGAACCTCCCTCCCCCGCGCGGGGCGAACGAATGGGCGCAGGGCCGAGGGGGCGGGCGGAGTGGAGTCGGCTGGAAGGGATTGGAACCACAAGGGGCACGCAGTGCGGGGGGGGGCGAGGCGAGGGGGGACGGGAACGAGAAGGGTCTGGGTTTGGGCGGGCCAGGGAATTGCGCAGCGAGCGGGATCATTCACTGCAAGTGCGAAAGCAGACCTACAGTGAGAATGCATAGTAAGGACGCGTGGTAAGGACGCAAGACCCTTGGAGGCCGAAGTTGAAGTATTCTTGGTGGCAGGCGGCCAAGCACCCAGGGAACGCGAGAAACTAGCCTGCGAAAGTTGTTAGGGACGAGCCGCAGAGGCTGAGGCAGGCAAGGACCCAAGGGTACCCTTGAAAAAGTCGTCTGTCCTTACTATGCGCGTTGACTGTACTTCACGCGAACTCGTTCGGTCAAGTGTGGAGGGAGGAGGACGATGAGAGAGGCCGCGCCATCCCCCCCCCCCCCCGCACCTTCAACCACTTCCACTCGGGCATGGCGTTCATCGCGGACAGGAACGTGGAAGCAGTATTCACCGCCGTCTGGTAGGTCGCCAGCACTGCCTTCGCCTTGGTCTCTGCTGCTTTGACGAGCGCCTGCTCATCCTTTTTCCTTTGCTTTGCTGCCCTTTCCTCGGGCGTCTCGATCTTCTGCTGCCCCTTGTCGAGGGCGCAACTACTCGCGCTCCCCAACCCTGGCCATCCCAATAGTGAACACAAGATCGGTGCACATGACTTCGTGGCCAAGCCATGGAAGCGTAAGCACCGATCCTGTGTTCGGAATTGACTTGGCCAAGATCTTAGGCGTATAGTTGGCGCCCCGACACCTTGGACGCGGGCTTGGCCCGTGCCTTCGCCCTGCGCCTCTGGGCTGGCTCCTCCACCTCCTCTCCAGGAGCTTGGCCGCCGCCCGCTGCCGCCTGGGCTGCCACCTGAGCTGCGCTGCCCGCTGCCACCTGAGCTGCGCCGCTGGCTGCCACTGGAGCCGCGCTGCCCGCTGCCACTGGAGCTGCGCCGCCCGCTGCCACCTGAGCTGCGCCGCCCGCTGCCACTGGAGCTGCGCCGCCTGCTGCCACTGGAGTTGCGCCGCCTGCTGCCTCTGGAGCCGCGCTGCCCGCTGCCGCCTGAGCTGCGCCGCCCGCTGCCACTGGAGCTGCGCCGCCCGCTGCCACTGGAGCCTCGCTGCCCGCTGCCACTGGAGCTGCGCTGATGTGCCCGCTGCCACTGGAGCTGGCGCGTTCAACATTGTTACTTGCAGGCAGTTGCTGTCTGCAGATTTGGGGCGGAGGGGGGCGGGAGGGGGGGGGGGGTGCGGGGGGGGGTTGGGTGGGTGGGTGGGTGTTGTGGGGGGGGGGGGGGGGGGGGGGGGCGTGGCGATGATGATGATGATGATGATGAGGGGGAGGGGGAGGAGGAGGAGGAAGAGGAGGATGGCGATGACGACAGTGATGACTGTTATTCTGGCGACGATGATGCTGGCGATGATGGCGCTGCTGCCACTGCTGATGATGACGCTCATGATGACGATGATGATGAGGATGATGCTGAGGAGAAGGAGGAGCTGGAGGTGGTGGGGGAGGGGGCAGGTTGAGGACGAGGGGGTGAGGAGAGATAACGGCGCTCTGATGAATACCCTCAGCCTCTTCTTCCTCTCCTTTCCTCCTCCTGCTCCTCCCCTCCCACTGTTGCTGCTGATCCCCCAACTCGTCTTCCTCCATCCAATCGTCGTCCTCCTCCGCCGCCTCATCCCCCTCATCCTCCTCCCCCCCCTCCTCCTCCTCTTCCTCATTCCACATTCGCCCATGCACTCCTCCTCGAGCTTATGGTTGCCCTCGTCGATAATCGCAACCTGCAGGGCCTGCTCCTCCAGCCCCCTCTTGGCCAGGGCCTTCGCGGCCTCGCTGACCTGGGCTAATGCTCCAACTCCCCCAGAAGTCGCTGCGGAGGGGGAGCGGGGAAGGGGCTGGGCCATTAATTGGCAGATTCATCTTAGGAGTATGCGCATGCGCAACTATATATATATATATATATATATATATATATATATGCGTGTGCAGACATGCATGCATATGCGATTGTGTGTGTGTGCGTGCGTGCGTGCGTGCGCGCGCGCGTGCGCGCGCGTGCGTGCGCGCGTGCTAGCGACAGCCTGGTAGAGGGGGGCGGGGTGCTCAGGACGGCGCAGGGGGGGCGGGGGGGCGGCAGCAGCTGGGCGCGTGGCGCGCACTTCTTTCAAGGCACAGCCCGGCCCGCGAGCAACTCCCCGCGGGGGGGGGGTCTAGGGGGGAGGGGGGGGGGGGGTGATCATGAGAACGAGCGGCAGGATGACATATACCCGCAGACCTCCATTCCAGAACTGAGACCTGCGCTGCTGAGCACCGTCTCCAAGTCAGCCGTGGGCTGCAGCTCCTTGTAGCTTGTCCACGCCTTCTCCATCTCCTCCCGCCTGCCGACTTCGAGGTAGAGGTAGCGCATACGCTTGGCCATGTCGTCCCACCTGCACCAGTCGCCGCCCATCTTGATGCAGCTCTCGACGTAGTTCTGGGCGGCAACTATGTTGGTGGGGTCGTCGTAACCCCCTTCTTCCTGCCCGCCCCCCGTTCGAACTCACAACGCGCGTGCTCGCGCGACCATTCGTGAAAGCACGCGCGCTGTGAGTTCGACGTCGCGCACTGCCGCTGAGCGCGACGCAACTGATGCGAACGCACGCACACGAGCCAACCCTGCGCCTCCATGAAACGGTCGGCGCTGTAGGCCGATGGGAAGAAGGACGAGATGAGGGGGCGGGATCAATGAACGCAGAAGCAAGACAATGATGAGAGGGTGCATGGAGGACCACACGACGCAGAAGGCCGCTGTTTCGACCTGCCATGCTTGCGCATCGCTTGCCCCCTCCCCCTCCCCCCTGGCGCCCGCCTGAACGATCTTCGAGAAGCTCTTGTACGTCGCTTTCTCGGTCGACACCTCCCGAGATAATAATGCGCGCGCGGTGTGACCCAGGGTGGGCGAGAGCGAAATCTCTCCTTCGTTCGTTCTCCCTGTCTCGTTTTTTTGTTGTTGTTGTTTTTTGTTTGTTCTCTCTCTCTCTCTCTATCACCCTCTCTCGCTTTTGTCATCTCCCTCCTCTCCTATCTCTCGGTGCCCACCCTCCCTCTATGCCAATATCTATGTAGATGGAGCGAGAGAGAGCGATAACGAGAGAGAGAGAGAGAAAGAGATATGGGGAGCATCGTGGACAGGGGGCCAGAGAAAGACAGAAAGAGAGAGGGAGAGAGAGAGAGAGAGAGAGAGAGAGAGAGAGAGAGAGAGAGAGAGAGAGAGCGACCGAGAGAACGCGAGGGATCCAGAGGGATACACGCAGCACCTGCAGGGATAACAGTAGAGATGGAGGGAGAGAGAGAGAGAGAGAGAGAGAGAGAGAGAGAGGGAGCGATATAGAGAGAGAGGGAGAGCGCGAGAGAGAGACATGAGGAGAGACAGAGGGGGCGCGAGATGCAGACGGGGCGGAGAGGGAGGGAGGGGGGAGGAGAGAGAGCGAGAGAGAGAGAGAGACTACGAACACAGACAATGCCAGAAACAATCGTGCACACTGCTGTCTTGCCGCCACTGAGCAATGCTCCACCTCCAATCCCACCCCGCCTTTTTGTATACTTCCATCTTGCTGAATACCTCCTTCAACGTCTTCAGCTTCCTCATGGCCCACTCCTTCCTGAACTGTTGCTTCGCGGCGACCGTGTTGCCGACCGCCTTCAGCGCCTGCGGGCGCGGTCGGGCGATGCACTATCTCATGCCCCCCAGGTTCCTCAGCTCTAGTGATGTAGGTTCGCTGCGGCTCACTGCTGCTACTTGCAGGTGGCACAGGCGGGCTGCAGCGAACCGTAGCAGGTCCCATTCGTGAATGACACCTGCAACTGTTCTAGGTGATCATCATAATGACCACTGGTTATGGTCTAGGACATCATATGGGAGCGTTCGGGGGAATCATATATACGCCCACCCGTGCCTCTTTCAGCTTCGGGTCTTTGTGCACCGCCCTCTCGAACTGCTGCGCCACAGGGGTTCTCGTTTTCACTCCGTCTTTGATTGCGTCCTCTAACTGTTTGATGAGCTGGGCATCTGTGCCGCTCAACTCCTTCGCAGCCTGCTTCTTGAGTTCCTCCTCCCCTTTCTGTGTCAGGAATGTCTCCAATTGGTTCACACGCTGCATTAGGTCTTGCGAGTGGCCACCCCCTGCCCGATCAGTCTCGAGCTTGACGTTAATGAAGCCACCGCTGTCGCCGCCGCTGCTGGAGCCCACTTCGCACGGTTGGGCGCCCCTCTGACCAGCAGGTGGTTCGGCTTCCATTGGGGCAATGGCTCCGAGGTCGTCGGCTGCTCCAGCGCCGCTCGGATGTGCCGTGCGCGTGGGGCTCGAGGCTGGCGCCATCTGACGCTCGGGGTCTGACATGCCAACCCGTTCGTGGTAGCGCCTGCGTTGTTCTGAGTCGTCTGGCATGCGGTCTGGCAACGGTGACTCCTGCGTGGGCTGGTTGTGCTGAGCGGCTGGCTGGCCTCCTGTCGACTCCACGGGAATCTGCTGGCTGTGCTGAGCGGCTGGCTGGTCGCCATCCCGTTGCATGGGCTGGCTGTACAGCGGCTGGCTGGTCGCCCTCGCGGTGCACGGGCTGGCTGCGCTGAGCGGCTGGCTGGTCACCCTCTCGTTGCATGGGCTGGCTGTGCTGAGCGGCTGGCTGGTCGCATGTCGACTCCACGGAGACGGGCTGGCTGTGCTGAGCGGCTGGCGGGTCGCCATCCCGTTGCATGGGCTGGCTGTGCTGAGCGGCTGGCTGGTCACCTTCGCGTTGCATGGGCTGGCTGGGCTGATCGGCTGGCTGGTCGCCATCCCGTTGCATGGGCTGGCTGTGCTGAGCGGCTGGCTGGTCACCCTCGCGTTGCATGGGCTGGCTGGGCTGATCGGCTGGCTGGTCGCATGTCGACCCCACGGGAATGGGCTGGCTGTGCTGAGCGGCTGGTTGGTCGCCCTCGCTCTGCATGGGCTGGCTGTGCTGAGCGGCTGGCTGGTGGTCACCCTCGCGCTGCATGGCCAGGGCTCTGTCCCACATGTGCTCGTGCAAGGGGGGGTGGTCGCGGTGGCCGTGCTCGCGCGTGGAGTCCACCAACGTCTGCGTCATCTGGCTGGAGGCATCGTGCACGCGCTCTGGTTGCTCTATCGACTGGCGTGGTGGAGTGGCGCCGCCCAGCGCGGCAGGAGGCTGGCGCTGGCTGGCGTTGGAGAGCGGTGCCTCGCCCAGGGGGGGCACGGCGAGAGGGGATGAGAATGGCGTGGATGACGAGGGTGGCGAGGTGCGTGTGTGTGTGTGTGGGGGGGGGGGGGGGGGGGGCGGCGAGGGCGGCCATGCCTCACGACCCCCCCTCACCCCCACCCCCTTCCTCCCCTTGTTTCAGAACGCTGACTCCCACGGTGCCCCAGAGAGAAAACATGGAATGAGGGAGCCGCAAGGGGGATGGGGGGGGGGGAGGGGGCGGAGGAGAATGCCCCATTCGACTAAATTCACTCACCCTTCAAACCTCGTCACTGGACCCGTCCAAGTCGATGACACCAACGGGTTGCTGACCCGCCGTCGCCCTCATCACCTCCGCCACTGTGCAGTCGTCACCGAAATCTCCCTGATTAACCTCGTGCCGCACGGTGCCGTCTAGTTTGAAACTGCTGCCCTGAAACGCAACGAAGTCACTGTCCCTGCCGCTCTGAGGCATCGGATCGCCGCTGCCGACGCCGCGGTGTGAGGACATGTGGCCTATAATAAATAGATCGGCCAATGGTCGCTGCTTGGGCCAAGTCGTTATCGAGGAAAGGGTCATGGGCAGGAAGGGCCAGGGCGACTGATCGCGGCTGCCTGGGCTGAGTTGCAATGGCATTCGTGATTCCACTGGTTAATACAATCAACCCGCAGAACATGGATGCGCGATAAGGGTGCAAGGGCCTTGGACGCCCATGTCGAAGCTTCCCGAGCGGGGCGCGGCCAACGAAAGTGCCCAAGGATGGGCCCGGGAAGCAAGGATGCAAGGGTACCCTTGGGAGGGATGCCTATCCTTACTCTGCGGGTTGACGGTGTCCGTAGATCCCACGGTCAAGCCGCCACTTCCAAACCATTGGCTTGCGCGCCATATCTCAGCATGGTTCCCGCGCCCAGTCCTGCGACTGCGCGCTAAACATCGTTTCCAGACGGGCTGCCCCCTCACCCCCTGCGCCCGCGATCCTCTTGCGCCCTCCTCGCACGCACAGTCTGGGGTGCTTCGCCTCCAGCGGTAGTGGCCAAATACTCGACACACACGGCCGTCATACTAATCCATCCAACCATCCAGTTCTCTCTATTTATCTCCCTCTTTCTCTCTCTTTATCTCTGTCTCTCGCTCCCCCCCTCTCTCTCGATCTCTCTCTCCTTCTCTCTCTCTCTCTCTTTATCTCTCTCTCTCTCTCTTTCTTTCTCTCTCTCTCTCTCTCTCTCTCTCGCTCTATCTCTCTCTCTCTCTCTCTCTCTCTCATTCTATGCGCACCCTTCGAGATATACGTGCAGTCAGGCGCGATTTTTTTGTGCGCGGGGGGGGGGGGAGGGGCGTGGTCGGACGCAAAACCATTTTTCAGGGCTGTAAAAAGCAGGATCGACCTACTCATCGCACCGACTGTACACGTATATACACCCCTGTCTCCATTTCTGCTTGCAAACAAGCGCGACGGCAGTGCGAGGTCGAGCCGCCCCCTGGCTCGGGGAGAGTCAGTCTGACTCGGTCTTCTTCTGATCTTCATCAAGATCATCCCGATCACCTCCCCATCCCCGCGATTGCAAACGATGGGTCGTCGACATTGGGAATTGGCTTGGCAACGCATCGGAATGCGTTGCCAAGCCAATCATAGCATCGACGACTGAATGAGAGACTGACGAGGATGACATGGCTGAGAAACGATGGAATCAGGCATGACGAGCACGACGAGGATGACATGGCTGAGAAACGAAGGATGACTAGGATACATGACGAGAATGAGCATAGGAATGGCTGATAAACGATGACGAGGAGGCAGCGCCCCTGCACCGCCGCCCCACCTGGCGCAGCTGCAGTCAGCTGTTCCACCTCCTTGTCCCGCGACTCGTACACATTGTCGGCGTTGATCTGGCCTCCCCCCCTTTTCCTCACGCTCGATCTCTTTCGCTCGGTCGTGTTTTTTTTGTTGATTCTCTCTCTCTCTCTCTCTCTCTGTTTATTTGTTTTCTCTCTCCCTCTTGCTCTCTCTCTCTCTCTCGCATGTTATTTGCATCTTGCGTTATATATTACTAGATGCCTATATCACTCCTCCTATTCCTGCCTCTCGGCCTCACTCTCCATCTCTCTCTCTCTCTCTCTCTCTCTCTCTTTCGCATTTCTCTTGGCTTCCTGGATATCGCTCTGGAGCTGCATCTCTCTCACTCTCCCTCTCCCTCCCCCGATCCTCTGAATCTTAACGCTCCTCGCCAGGCTCCATCGTACTTCACCGCTCTTCATTGCTGAGCTCATCGCTACTCTCCCCGACCTTGCGATGCGACATTCCC